ATACATATACATATACATATACATATATATATATATATATATATGCATGCATGCATCTTGGTTTCTTTGAAGATTTTTCCATTGAAATAAATGTTAGGAATTACTGAAAAAGCCTCTGAGTGGCTCTATGTGGCTCATGCTGCATGTTGCTAGACTGCATTCTGTAACCTTTGTACCAGGTCACCAGCAGTGGGAATGGATTACAGGAGTAGCACTAGAGCCTTAGTCCAGTCTTAGTGTGTAGCACTTACTATAGTTTTAAAAGTGGTTATTTGCATTCTCAGCAGGGTAAAAACATTCATTTTGCTCTGCGGATTTCATTTGTGTTCCTTAACCTTCTAGAACTCTTCTAGGTATTCATGCTTGGGAGTTTGATGCTGGCTTTCTTGCTTAGAACTTTACTCTGCTTCTAAGTTAACAGTTCTCAATCTGTGGGTCACAACCCCTTTGGGGGTCGTCTATCAGATATCCTACATATAAGATATTTACATTACAATTCATAACAGGAGCAAAATTACAGTTACAAAGTAGCAATGAAATAATTTGTCGTCACAACAAGAGGAACTGTATTTAAGGGTCACAGCATCGGGAGGGTTGAGATCCACTAAACCATATTTTGTGGTGTTGCTCTGTGGGTCTTCTCATCAAGTCTATTCCCTGTCAGGCTTTTTCTACAGTCCCATTGCCTCTCTGTGGAAAGCATGTTTCCATCATGTGGTTTGGAGTATGTTAGGACCTAGCTCCTCCTTAGCCATGCATTTTTTTTTTCCCTTTCTCTTAGCCTTAGTTTATATGTTTCCATTAGGTCAGTAGAGATATGCTAAGAGCACTGATCAGGTTCTGGTCTTGCAGTTTGTACCCTGTCTAGCAGCTGTGCTCACCAAAATACGAGTAAAATTTTAGCTCTTATTAAAATGTGTAGACTGGTAATTCAGCGGGAACCTCTATCTTATGGTACTGTGTGATCTTCACCTCTCATCTCAAACTAAGATGCCTCGGGTAACATCTGTAGGACCAGCATACCAACCTCGGGTGAAAGCAATTGAGGTGATTGATCTTTGAGTGCCTGAAATGTTGTAGAATATTGGCCAACAATGATTTATTACAGCTATCATATCTGCGAATTTTTATTGTTAAATACTAAAGGAGGTTGAGATTTCTGCTCTTTTGGTGGTATATAAATTTGAGTCCATGTACATATTCTTGGCAACTGTTAAAATGTAGCTACACAGTGGGGATGCCACATCTCCTCAGATGGCTGTGGTTTGCAGGGTAAATTAGTATTGATGAGAGTCTTGGAAATAATGACTAATAAGTTAGCTAAGGAATAATGAACTGTTCCTTGAACAGTAAGCTGGAGGTTGAGTGTGGGATAAAGAAGAGAACTACTTGGTCTGTTGGGCACAAAAGCATGGTCAGTATCAAAAAGAGCAGTTACTGTTGCCACACAGGTACATAGAAGGTTTCTTATACCCAAGACCTAGTAGTTACTGGTAACTTTAAATGGTATGTTTAGAAACTTCTATGCTTCTAGAACTTTCATTGTGATTGGGCAGTCTAATCTGAATGAAATAGTAATACAGGCCAATGGATAAGTCATGTGTGTATTTAGAGTCACGTGTGTTCCATTTTTGTAGCCTCAGATGAACAATTTGTAGCCCAGATTGTATCATGGGCTGTGTGGAAGGTATAAGCCTGAATACAGCCGACTCAGAAGCATTTCCCTGCCCCCAAACCCGCCTTAGCAAAGACATGCAGTAATTTTGGATAAGGGATGTATGCTTGAGCAACTAAATCTAGATGTTCTTCAGAAATTGTAACAGTCACCATGTTCAGGGTGCTGGGGTTCCCAGTTTATAAGTTTATAACCTCTGTTCCACCCTTTGCACTGGAGTCTCTTGTCTGTTTTGTATTTATTCCTTTGTATATATGTGTGTAGAGTATTACTTTGGGTCAGGCTATTGACTTGGGAAATCACAAAAACACTGGAACTGTCTTAGTTACTGTTCTATTGCTATGAAGAGATACCATGATCAAGGCAATCTTACAGTTTAATTGGGGGCAGGCTCGCAGTTTTAGAGGGCTAGTCCATGATCATGATGTAAGAAGCAGACAGGCGTGCTGATGCAGTACCTGAGAGTTCTACATCTTGGTCCACAGACAGTAGCAGAGATACTGAGCCTTGGTGTAGACTTTGAAATCTCAAGGTTCAATCCCAGTAACTACTTCTTCCAGCAGGCAGACCTAATTCTCTCCAAACAGTTCCATTAACTGGGTACCAAGCTTTCAAACATAGCCTACAGGGCCCATTCTTACTCAAACCACCACAGGACATTGCTAATTTCATTGGCTCTCAGACAATTCTGTACAATAAGTTCTCTTTGTAATCACTCAAAATCACAGTCAAATGATGAAACTGGCATTTAAGACAGACTGGTTTTTTGGTAAAGGGCCACAAAGCTAGCAAGTAGTGGACTTGAAGCCAGTATCTGAAACTATCATGTGCCTTCCATGGTCAAACAGGAGAGTAAAGAGGAAACTATGTGCCAGTTGTTTTAAAGTTGTAAGACAAATTGCTTTAGGATAATTGGAAATAATATACTGGAGACTACAAGATCCATCTTGGCTTTATTTTTCTACTACTAAAACTTGAGATAGTATTCAATAAGATCTCCCCAATTCCCACATTTGTTTAAAAATAAGGCAGGCCTTATTCATTAGTGTCAAATTTACATCAGTGGTCACATGTGATAAAAGCATTTGGATTTTTTATCTTTCTTCCTTCTTCGTCAGTATTAGCCCATTCCTTCAGAGTTGCTTTAAATTCCCCTGTTGCTTGTGTTGCAGAAGTGGTGGACAGATGGCAGAAACAAACTAGAAAACTGGAAGCCAGTTACTTTGCTGTGTTCTGAAACATAGAAACATGGGTTTAAATGTTATAGTCACCTAGTCTTTTAAGACTGTATCTTAACCTTTCAACCTGGAGCTGCTTTGAACATACTGACATTGTTTCAACAGGATGCATTCAGTTTACTAGCATATTCGGATCCTTGGAATAGTCCAGTTGGAAATCAACTTGACCCAATTCAGAGAGAACCTGTGTGCTCAGCTCTTAACAGTGCAATATTAGGTAAGTAAATAATGCAAGTCAACTAGACTTCAGTGGCATCCTCTCAACAGTTGCGAGGACATCCTTCTAACATTTGTTTCAGTAAAATAGGGACATAGCATTCTTTTTAAAGTAACAAAAATTTCCTCCATACCAAACTTTACATGGATTCTGATGGAATAAAAGTGGTAGTCTGGAATATATCTTGGTAAAGGTTTTGTCTTCATGTATATAAATACTTAATGAGTCTTCCCATTTAGAATGAGGTATTTGTATAGTCTTTGTGTCTAAATGAAAAAAACGCACTATAGAGGCACTCTGTAGCCATTTTGGGACTGGGAATCACAGGCATTGTTCTTTTAAATTCCTTCATCTACTTGACCTAAGCTGCTCCTCCTGTATGGAAGAGCATGTGTACATGGCTGGGGAATGGCCTTTTGTTTCTCCAAGTGTATGTCATTAGGACTCAGTTGTGGAAGTAGTAGGAAATTCTGAGTTAACACGTGAACTCAGCTCAGGTGAGAAAGGTGACAATATAGGAAGGTACAGAACCTTCCTATGTCAGTAGCTATGTTTAATAGACTGAGCAAAACTTGGTTTGGCTGCTGTGAAAGAAATTTGGGCATGTTTCCAATGAGTTCTGATAGTTGCTCCACAGGAAGGTGAGGCAAGAAGGGAGCACTTGAACAGATTACTCAGGACTCACAGCTGGAGCCACCCTGGTACCCTTGTGCAACTTTGACTTAAGGTGTTTAAAGGAGTAAGGGTACCTGAGCTCCCCATATCATAGCTCCTGTGTTTAAGACGTAAGTAGTACCAACAACACCTGAACTCAAACATTTGCTTTTAAATTAAGCAGATCACATAAGTGGTAAGGCTTTGTCAGTGTATATGGGAAGTGGGATACTGTTTGGTTAGTCTCTCTGCGTCACTGCAGGGATGTTAATAGTAATCACCTACTGAATACTTTGATGCGAATTCTGTAGTTACACTCGTATGAAATGTCATGGGTTCATCTGCACATAAAGCTTCATTTCTAAGCTGTTTTCTTCAAAGGTAATTTAGCTCAAGGGTTACTTTACATCTGACTTTTAGAGTCTTAACTTCCCCAATAAAATGGGACTCCAGTTCATTTTAGAAGTTTGTGCTGAATTTTGGCCTGGTACGGTTTTAGTTTCTTAAATTAGGATTTGTGTGTAGAATAATACAAATTTTGTTTTGTATTTTTTTATCTGGTTGTTGTATTTTCAGTGGCTAAATAAGATCAGCTGTGTTAGTAAAAATAAGAGTTTCTGAAGTAGCTAACTTTCTTGTGGCAGTTTTTGAGTTCTTCAAATCAAATGCTTAAGAAATGAGGCAGGGGGCAGGCCGGTCTCTAGAGTTTGAAGCCAGCAGTTTACATAGGAGACTTTCTGGCCAGTCAGGAGTTACACCTGGGGTGAGGTGGAGGTGGAATTTGTGAAAAATGCTTATATTTGTATTAAAAAAAGGATAAATTAAAGCAACTCTGTGAATGACTGCATCTTTTTGCTACTCATGAGCAGACCCATATGTAATGCATAATGTACTGTGTATCATATATATCTTTAAAGATTAAAACCAGAGGCCTCTTTTGGTCAAAGAGTATAATAATGAGCCCGTGGTGCTCACTTGGATGAGTAAAGATACTTCTGTGATTCTTAAACCCTCATTTTCCTTTTGTATTTATTCATAAATGAGTACTTCAACAATCTTAGCCTTTAGACCACTTTTAATTAGTGTATTTTCTGACCAGTCTCCTCCATGCTTTTCTTTTCTATGTGCTTCATTCCTTCAGAATTTTGTAAACTCTGGGCTGAGGCTATAGGTAATCGGATAGAGAGCTTGGCAGCCACTGTCACTGTTTTGCCCCTGTGAATTTTGCCAGCAGAGGGCTGATTAGTTTCACTGACGTTTGGACACCATCTCCAGAGAGAAAGCACAAGCATCTAAGCAGGGTCCTGTTACCCTTAGTTACCCATCATCCTCTGTAACTGTCTGCACATTTACTCGCAGCACTCAGGAGGCAGAGGCCAGCCTGGTCTACAAAATACACCCATCTGAAGGTAGTGATGTATAATACCCAAGAACATTCTATTTAATAAAATATCTGAGCCAATTAGGTTAACCTCTTTGATTCGAGGATGGCTTTGCTCTGTACACTGATAGGCTTTCACTTGCTTCTGAAAAACACGAGCACCTTAGAGGCAGCTCAATCGCCCTCACTGGACTTTGTCTACAGGAGGTGGGGTAGGATCGATCACTGGAAACTCTGGATGAGCACCTGGTACTACCTTTTCTTGTTAATGTCAGCTGACCTTGCCTCTAAGTAGAGGAATGGTAGATTTTCCTTATCTCAACCCCAGGTGTCAGGTAGGTTACATCTTTTCTATCGATGTTCACAGAGAAGTAAAAGGTTGAGTGTATATTTAACAAGGATCTCTGAATTCCAGGACAGATGGGAAAACAAAGTGAGACCATGTATCAAAAAAATTAAATTTAGAAAATAACTTCATTCTTCAAGAACATTTCTTAGAAATATCAACCTACTTTGCTAGTCAGATAGTTCAGATCCTCAGGCACAGATGTAGCACATATTGTATTGCCCTGATTAAAAGATGATTTTTAAAATGGTTGTTAATTGCTATTTTCATTTTCTAATCCTTTTTCCTTAGAAACCCACAATCTGCCAAAGCAACCTCCACTTGCCCTAGCAATGGGACAGGCCACACAATGTCTAGGACTGATGGCTCGATCAGGAATTGGATCCTGTGCATTTGCCACAGTGGAAGACTACCTACATTAGCTATGCACTTCAGGAGCTCACACTTACATTGTGGCAAATAGTCAACATGGAAGTAGACCGGCTCTGCTGATTTGAAATTTAGATTTTTTTTAATTATGTACTGGGGACAGGTTTTTGTCGCTTTACATTGCTTCCTAGTTTACAGCATGATGCAAATGATTTTCTAACTTAGTGTTAGGAGAAAATATTTTCCATCTTTTAACCTCTTAGTTGTCTAAGAGTTAAATATTACTGAATTTCAGACGTTCAAATTGATCATCAGAAATCCTTTAAAACAATTACCTAAAAGAAACCAAAAATCCTGCCTTCTTTGTTGGGGGGAGAAGGGGGAAGGAAATGGAACAAGTTGTGTTTGTGTTAGCATGTGGGTGATGTAAACTACAAATTGGGAGCTGTTCCGACCCCCGCTCCTGTGTAAGCATTCAATCAGTGTAACTTGCAAAATGCATAAACATCCGACAGTTTGAATTTAATAGTGTTGATGGAAGAAATCATTTTTAATGTGTACTGTAAAACTTGAAATACTCAGGAGCTGAGTGAGTATGTTTGTTGCTACTTACAATCCCAACCTGTTAGTCCCAGTAGTTTTGTTTTAACATGGTCTTTTTCAACTTTGTTTCCTGTTTAACTACAGATGACTTCTGTTGTAGACTCACAAGTTTAACTGTTGTATTATAACAGTATTACATGTCAACAGTGTGGTTATGACCTTTATTTATATAAAAACCAAATATTTAGTCAATTTACCGTGTCTTAATTTAATCTTTGTACACCTTCCATTTTTAAGTGCTTAAATGAGTACTATATTGCAATAAAAATGTAGTGATATAATTAACCAGCCATTAAAAATTTACTTCTACAGATATTAGTGTCAGTTGAATTTATGTATTAGATTCTCATATATTTCTTAAGACAGTTAATACTGGTTCTTACTGTCAGTCCAGGTTCTACAGTCTAAGACTACCTTTTAGGTAACTGCATTAGTTAAAACCTGACACTGTGCGTGGACATACAAAAATAGGAATTTAACAGGTAACTATCAACTAAGCAAAACCCCCAAACTAGTTAAAAATAAAATTTGAAAAGCTATTCCAGAGCTGGCAAGATTGCTCAGCAGGTAAAGGCACTTACTTGCTACAAAGTCTGGTGACTTGAATTCAACCTCTGAAACACACATGATAGGTAGGGAAGACTCAATATAAATTGTCTCCTGATGACCATGTATGTGTGTAACACACATCCCTACCTTCCTCTTTAAAGACCAAAAACACTTTCAGTGTCTATGGCTGGGCAAAGGTGCTAGCTGAAGTTGAAGTCTTCTCTCTTTTTATTTACTTGCTCTTGGGATCTTTTTGTTTGTTTTTACCCTGTGCTCTTTAACAACGACTTATTCCTTAACAGGAATCACATCAATAACACCAGAATCACTTTTCAGCTGTACTGAAGACTTCACAGATGTTTTTTTCCCCTCCCTTCCTGTGGCCACAACAAAGATGAAAACTGCTTTTCCCGCCAAGACTAAATTGTATTCTAGGAAGAAATGTAGCCAGCTGTTTTCCCAAACAAAATTGTTTATGATTCCTTTATAATGATTTATCAATGACTAGATTTTGATAAATGAATCCGCTCTACACCCAGTAACCTTAAAATCTATACATACAAAACACAGGTTCTTCATTTAACTTTACTTTGATTCACTTATAAGTTCTCTTTTTCATCTTTTTGGCCATCCACCGTTTTTTAAACCTCTTGGCATTTTGTTGTTTCTGAGTACCTACAATAGAACAGAAAGCTCCAGGTGTAAAAACATTCAACAAGTATTCAAAACCCAAGAAACATGAAATTTGGATGTCTAGTTTACATACATGGATGCTATTAAAGTAGATCTTTCAACTTATAATCCTTCCAAAAACATTTCCTTGTAAAAACTACTAAAGCCAACCGATGAAAGCTCCATCTTACCCCAGGTGCTATTGAGAAACTGGGCCGCAGCCTTTTTCACTGGTAACCTCTTATTGTTCAGAGACAGGAACTTGTTTACAGTCGTCCTCTTGGATTCTGAACCGTATAAACAGTTGTGGATGAAGTGTCTGGCTGCTTCTTGCCTTGAGTCTCTCAGATCTTCATCTTTAAGCCTTACAGCCAAGTAGCTTTTAGTCTGACTGGTGATCAATACAAAAGGTCAAAATACATTAGTGGTTACATGCTTGTTCTCCTACATAACTATGTATGACACTGGGGAGGGCCAACCCAAGGTGGTCCACACACTTAAGTAAGCACTGTACCACTCAGCCACGTCCTTAACCCAACTTTTCTCTCCTTATGGTGGATAGGGTTAGGGTGGTGTCAAACCCAGGGCCACACAAATGCAAGGTAGGGACTCTACTGTATGACTCTAACCCCTACATAACTTCACTTTGAAAAGTCATTTTGTTCTTGGTTCATCCTTTTCTTTAAGGCATACATAATACAGCAAAATCATATGCTGTTTTATAACTAAACACATTTTAACGAAGCAAGTAAATGTTACTATCAAAACTGATACTTTTCTATAAGTAATCCAATCTAAAACACTACTACTCCTCCTCCTAAGCCAAAACAACGGAAACTGCATCCCACTGGGAAAAACAGAACCAAACTCATTACCCGACAGACTGCACTTTCTGTATTTTAACTTTCTTCGAGCTTCCTCCTTTTGCATGCTGTTCACTTTTCTTTTTCAAATTAACTGAAAAAATAAGATCCACTTATATAAATTAACACTTAATGGAAGTCACTCACTTTAGTGACTACTTATGTGAGTGCAGGTTTTATTTTGAAGAAATAGTGGAAAACAGGCATAAGCCAACTTTGGCCAGACCTAAGGACCACAAATAGGCAAAAATACCTGCAAATGCACTTTACCCTGACACTTAACCGAGAACAATTCATACCTTTTACATTTCCTGGTGATTTCTTTATGCTGTGGAGGGAAAACAAAAGATGAGAATGGCAGGCAGTATAGAGAACTCGAAACAAGTACCCTAAGATCCTGACTTTCATGACCTCTGCCCTTAATCTTTACTGAGCCACACAGCACTGCCACCAACTCCCAATCACTGAGCTAGCATGGAGTGTCCTCAGAACTTAAATCTGATCGATGTTAGTAGGCATCTAGAGAGTATGCTTAATAAAATATGAGAAACGCAGAACTGTCTGTATAATTTAGCATTCCAAATATCAACTAAAGGTTGGTGCTAGTCTCATAGTAATTTGAAACTGGATTCAGTCAACAGTTGACACTGGAGACAAAGGGCAAGTTCCAGGTAACTACTAACTGACTAAACCACCTGGAAAAGAGAGCACAGAAGCAGCTGTACAGATGGAAGGTGATGGGGAAGGAAGGGATGACACTTGAACTTGGATAGGGAAGACAGACTCCACTGAACAGCAGAAACATATGCTTATATGCCTCTTGAATTAAAGATGTGAATAATTATGGAAAAATAACCAACAATTTGGAACTATTATTCTGATTTTAAAAAAAAAAAAAAAGACTTCAAAATTTAGAATGTTCTAAGGCCAGGTGTGGTGGTGCACACCTTTAATCCCAGCGCCAAGAGGCAGAGGCAGGCAAGTCTTGAGTTTTGAGGCCAGCCTGGTCTACAGATCGAGAGTTAACAGGACAGTGAGGGCTACACAGAGACCCTGTCTAGAAAAGCAAACAATGAACCAAACAAGTCAATTCAGCAGGACTGACTTCGTAGGCTAAAGACAAATGTAACTCCAGCTTTGGGTTTTAAGCACTAGCAACATTGCTAAATGAAATGAGGACCAGACAAAGGTGGAGGCAGGTAGAACAAGCTCTAGAAAAGTCTGGGTTTTAGACGCTTTGGTTAAGTGCCTGCTGCAACACTAAATTATCTCAGTCACTTATTTACCATCTATCTTGCTGGACATAGTTTATTTGATAGACTGGCATCAGGAACTCCAAAACCACTGTGTAGCTTTTAAGTTTGGGAGAATTTCTTCAGGTATACAGACTATGTAAGAAGGCCTGATGCATGTAGAAACCCCGTTACTTACTCAGCCTCTGAAGCTGTAGTTAGCTGCTCTAAAACAGCATCTGGAAGCAGCTTTCTTTTCTTTGGGGATAAAGACATTTGAAGACATGTTAAAGTGATGTACAGGTATGCCTGGAGATACTTTGAAAGTTACTCATTTCAAACAGTTCTGCATTCGGGTCAGTCTGAATACTGCCCTGCTACCTCTAAGCCGACAACGGAAAGACTGGGCTTATAAAGCCCAATACATTCTCTGAAGTTTTACCCAAAGTAGCTCAACGTTCAAGTATCCCTGTTCTGAATAGAAAGGCATTAGGCATGGCCACTCGAATCAGATCTCTGGGCTGCGAAATAAGTAATCATTAGCTCCAGTCTAGAATTTAAAAACCTCAAGAAAACCTCACTACCTCTGGAAGCCTGTAAGACCCAATGTCAGGGCCACCCATGCCCACTCTGAATTAGGGCAGACTCCAAGAAACACATAAATGGCCCTTGACCCTTTCCAATACAGTATCCTAAACGGAGCCTTTAGCTAGGCGCCGTGTTTACAAAGCGACAGATCCCGCCTCCAACCTTCTGCTCAATGAACAGTTCCTCGCGCCGCTTCCTCTTCTCCTTCAGCAGCGTTTTATCCCTGGAAGAAAGGGAGTCAGGTCAGCACCGGCCGAGCCTAGGGAGTCGCGAGGCATCCCGTTCCCGGGCCCCGGACCTGCGAGCACTCTCGCGCACGCGCAGCTCCTCCTCCCTAGCTTCCGCCTGGGCGCTAGCGAAAGTCAGCTCCTCCGGGGCTTCGTCGTCCCCGTCCTCCTCCTCATCCAGTGGCTCGGCGGCCGCGCCGCTGCTGGGCTGCGCGAGCAGCAAGCCGTGCTCTGCCTCCTCCTCCTCCGAGGCCGCCTGGTCCTCGTCCACCATCGCCTCTGCTGGCGCGGGAATACGCGACGAGCGCGGCCGGAGCTGCACCATGGCCAACGGAAAGACGGCTGTCTGACCCTTGACCCGGAAGCAGCCGCTCGCAGTGCGCCGCGCGCTCTCCACGCCCCCTGCTGGTCCGGAGGTCACGGAACGTGCTGAGGCGCGTGCGCGGGAGGGAGGACCTTCTCATGGTTGTGACCTGGAAACTGGGAAAGAGGGGGCGCGGCTTCGTCCTGCTCAGTGTCGCCGCCTTTTTTTTTTCCTTTTTTTTGGGGGGGGGGAATGGGGGGGTCAGGGTGTTTTGATCCATGGAACACCGGCAAGGGTATAATAAATACGGAATGAATGACCGTAATTGCTAGTGGATGCATCCTTGTGTGTATTATATACGACACCCCCACCCCCGCCATATATTTTCTGGGAATACATGGCCCACGTGATGTCTTTTACCCGTTATACATCAGGAAATGATTCTTCATTCCCTAATCTATCCGTGCATTTGGATGAGCTGTCCTCTCCGATACGTCTTCCCCTAAGCAGAACTGTTGACACTTTGAACGTCTCACCCAGAGACCATGGCTCCCCTGGCTTGTCTTGCACACGTTTCCGTCACTGCTCCACATTCAGTTCACCTGGCCGTTGATTCAACCATTAATCATTAATTTCTAGTGAAATCATTAATTTCTAATGTCACGCAGTATATGTTCAACAAATGGTTAGTTAACATATATGCTTCCTACTTTTAAACCTTATCCCCCCCCCCTTCTTATTTAGAAGCAATTTCCAATTTAAAAAGAATAAAGTGGGACAAAAAGATCAAAACAAGGCCTGTAGGTGGCGACGCATGCCTCCCAGTGCTGGGAGGCAGAGGCAGGAGAATCTATGTGAATCTAGGCCAGCCTGATCTACAAAGTGAGTTCCAGGACAGCCAAAGCTTCACAGAGAAACCTTGTCTCAGAAACAAAACAAAACAAGAACTGCTGGGGGGGTTGGTAGGCAGAGAAGGAAGGGGAGCCTGTGAGCCAGATGAGAGGGTGGCTCTGAGATCTCTTGGCCTCCGTCAGATATAAAATACAAATGAAAAACATTCTCAGAGTCAGACAGAGTAACACACGCCTGAAATCCCAGTCTTCAGGAAGCTGAAGCAAGAAAATCTTAAATCCCAGGCCAGCCTGAGCTAAAGTGAAACCTATCTTACGAAAACAAATGTTTGCATCAGTGTGCTGATCCTGACAGCAACCGGCATTAAGATAATGGGAAGGTTAAGCTGAAGCCCGGTGACAACCTACTAAGAGCACACAATGGTCCATACCTGTAAAACCTACATTAAAAGTGTCACAGAGGGCAGGAGAGATGGCTCAGCAGTTATGACAACTTGAACTACTGCTCTTTCAGAGGACCTGAGTTCGGTTCCTGGTACCTATGTCAAGCAGCGTATAACTAACCACATATAACTAGTTCTAGGGGCTCCAAGGGCTTTGGCTCCTGCAGTACACATAGCCATTGCAGACAGACACACAGACACACACACCCCTTCAAAAAGTATCACTAATATTATAACTAGCTCCCTAGCTTTGGTTCGCTACCTACAATGTGACCCTTGGGCTGTCTGGCTAGTTCAGATTCCCAGTAGGTTGGATAATCTGTCTTCTTCACACAAAGGACTTTTAGGATTTGTTACAAATGACTATCACCTATGGTGCACGCAACTATCTCTTGTTGTCTGTGGTAGATCATTTCAAATGTCGAATTGACTGGACTAACAAACACCTGTGGAGAGCCACCTGCGTGAATGAGTAATGTTGACATGGGCCCAGCATGTCAGTGTCAAGGACCCTAATGCCCCAATGGCAAAGCCTTCTCTGGATCAGGTTCAAGGAAATGGCAAAGGCTTCCTGGGCCAATGTTGACAGTGTGTACAAAAGCTGCAAGCGCAGCTCCCTCCTCGTGGGTGACTGCAGCCTGAGACTGTTCCCCTCAGTCTTCCCACAGAGACTGTTAAACCCCTACTCCTTGCACTGAACATAATAAACTTGCTGAGTCCCTGAGTTGCACAGAAGGTAGCTTCCATCAGAGTGAGGCAACCCACCTGACCCCAGCTTTTCTGCATGTCTTTCTGGCATTTGTTCTGATATATGTCATTTTTTCGTTTCCAAGTTGCTCCCTTCAGTTTTCCAGCACCCAGCCATGCAGTATTTGGCCAACACCTAACACAACAGTGAGGCACACCTTTTGATGTGCCAATAATGAGTTTCCAGAAAGGATTAACTGAGGAAGAAATACCCTGAATGTAAGGAGCAGACTGTAGTCTTAGGGAAAAGGGGAAGCAAATGGAATACTGAGAGTCCCTGTCTTTGCTTCCAGGGCAGCCACAGACCAAGTCATTCCCTCCCTCTAGCCTTCCTTGCTATGATGCCTTCCTCTGAACTGTGAGCCGAGATGGACCTTTCATTCTTTAAGTTTTCTCGGGTACTTTGGTCATAGCCATGTAACTATTGACAGAAACTCAGGGTATTAAAACAAATGAAATGCTGAGAGGGGCTAGGTGAGGCAGAGCAGGTGCATAGTTACCTGGAAAACTGACAGGATCCAAAGGAGGGCATTTCCTACGCTCTTTATCCTCTTTGTTAGAGGTCATGGCATCTCTCTAGGCCTCTCATCCCTCTCATTCAGGCCCTTGCTGCATCAGCAGGTAGAGCTCAAAGATAGAACAGCGTTCTTGCCACTTTATTGCAAGGTAAAAAGGCCATCCTTTCAGGGACCCATAGCTCTGGCAGAGACTACATGCTCCTTGACTTATGACATTGAACAGCTATCACCCATCACTTCTTTTCCTTAGGGGCAACACATCTGCATCGTCCTGGATTTGGAGTGTTCCTGTCCTCATCCTGATGTCTCTACTCGGCCATTTCTTTTCGTGCCTTACATGAGTTCTTGCTGTAAGGTATCCCATAGTCTTTAAGGCAAGACATCCAAGGGGGGTAAATACTGAAAAGAAAAGGAACAGAAGCCCCAGCCAGGACATCTCTTGGAGGAGCATCCTTACACAAGTTACCAACCATAAAGGATAGTTCCATTTCTACAAAAAAAAAAAAATTTGAACAAAATAAATAAATAAATATGAATGCTTAACTTTCAGGATTTTAATTCTCTATTTCTGTCTTTGCCCAAGATGCAAACATACAATCAGGATAACTACCTTTTTGAACAATTTAATTACAAATTTTTCCCTTCCAGTAACTAACCATGAATATCTAATCCAAATTACTCATATTTCAGTTCAAATCAAATAATATGGAAGAACTTGACAGCCTCTTCCAGGTAAAACACATTTGCTGTTGGTATTTTGAAACCCATCACTTAACAGATTGTCTGCTTAGAGGGTGTTTTTAGATTTTCCCAAAGTTCAGCTCACCATCCACTAAACCACTTTTCCCGTTAGTGCCCTGCTTCTGTACTCCAGGATCTTGGTACTCCAGGATCTTCTCCTCTTTATACAGGGCGATTAAGAAATCTTTTCAGTTTCATGAGGAGCAAGGGCTTCGGGAAGAGTTATCCCACAGGGTCCCGGAAAATGAAACCTAAACATAAGAAGCCATACACCAGAATTAGGAGGTATGAGTTAGCAAAACGAACGCACAACTACAGCCAATAACATATAACTAATGGTGTTTTAAATTTTTAATAGATTTTTCTTTTGACTGGATCTCACTATGTAACTCTGGCTAGCCTGGAACTTGTCATGTAGACCTGGCTAGCAATGACCTCACAGAGATCAGTCTGTCTCTGCCTCTCAAATGCCAGGATTAAAGGTGTGTGTGGTGATTTAAATATCCTTGGCCCAGGAGTGGTTCTATTAGGAGGTGTAGCCTTGTTGGAGGAAGTGTGTCACTGTGGGCACGGGCTTTGAGACCTTCTTCCTAACCACGTGAGAGTGAGTCTTCTAGCTGCATTTGGAACAAGAGGTAGGACTCTCAGCTACTCCAGTGCCATCCCTGCCTGGACACTGCCATGCTTCCTGCCATGATGTAATGGACTGAACCTCTGAACCTTTAAGCCAGACCCAATTAAATGTTGTCCTTTATAGGAGTTGTCTTGGTCATGCTGTCTGTTCACAGCAGTAAAACTTTAACTAAGACAACTGTTCAAGGCAATAGACTTTTAGATTTGAGTCTCAAAACCCGGGCCACAAAAGCAAAAGTGTACAAATGTGATTATATAAAATTAATATCAGCTTGGAGAGTAGCCCAGTGCTTGAACTCTGCTGTGCTACCCTGGACTATGTCCCTGTCACTGGACGAAGAATAAGCAACCACTAGCACAAGACATAGACTATTTTAGACAGACTTGGTGAGCATGCCTATAACCCCAGTACTTAGGAAGCTAAGGCAGGAGAATCATGAGTTTGAGGCCAGCCTGGGCTACATATCAAATTAGAATAAGATGTATATTTGGGGCTGAAGAGTTATCTTACCATTAGAGAGCTTGTCTACCATGCACAGGTTCTGAGTTCAATCCCCAGCATCACAAAGTAAGATAGAAAATACAGCAGAGGGTCGAGAGAGATGACTCCATAGCTAAGAGCATGTGCTGCTCTTGCCGAAGACTAGGGCTTATTTCCCAGCATCCACATTTTGCAGCTCACAATCTCCTGTGATCTCCAAGAGATCCCAAAGCTTTGGCTTCCACAGGCATGTGCACTTGTGCACACATACCCCTACACATAGATACGTAACTAGAACAGAGGAGTGCCTGTCAAGAACCCACTGGCCATTTGTTAAAGTATAAACAGTGTGATGGTTTGTATATGCTTGCCCCAGGGAGTGGCACTATTAGAAGGTGTGGCCCTGTTGGAGTGAGTGTGGTCTTATTGGAGTAGGTGTGTCACTGGGAGTGTGGGATTTAAGACCCTCATCCTAGCTGCTTGGAAGTCAGTATTCTGCTAGCAGCCTTCAGATGAAGATGTAGAACTCTCAGTTCCTCCTACACCATGCCTTCCTGGATGCTGCCATGTTCCCACCTCAGTGATAATGGACTGAACCTCTGAACCTGTAAGCCAGCC